AAAAAAAAAAAAAAAAATTAGCCAGCATTGGCTGGGCACAGTGGCTCACATCTGTAATCCGAACACCTTGGGAGGCTGAGGCAGGTAGATCACCTGAGGTCGGGTGTTCAAGACCACCCTGGCCAACATGACAAACCCTGTCTCTACTAAAAATACAAAAATTAGCCCAGCGTGGTGGCATGCACCTGTAGTCCCAGCTACTCTGGAGGCTGAGGCAGGAGAATCACTTGAACCCAGGAGGCAGAGTTTGCAGTGAGCCAGGAACGAGTCACTGCACTCCAGCCTGGGCAACAGAGTGAGACTCCCATCTCTTTTTCTTTTTTTTTTTTGAGACGGAGTCTTGCTTGTTGCCAGGCTGAGAGTGCAGTGGGCCGATCAGCTCACTGAAAACTCCGCCTCCCCCGGTTTAACGCCATTCTCCTTGCCTTCAGCTGTCACGAGTAGCTGGGGACTACAGGTGCCGCCACGCGCCCGGGCTAGTTTTCTGTATTTTTTAGTTAAGAGACTAGGTTTCACCATGTTAGCCAGGATGTCCTCGATCTTCCTGACACCGTTGATCCGCCCGGTTCTCGGCCTCCAAAGCTGCCGGGATTACAGGCTTGAGCCACCGCGGCCCCCAGCCGAGATTCATCTCAAAAAAAAGAATAGCCTAAATAATTAGCCAGCATTTGTTATGAGGTTAATGTCTATTTGCCCCGCTAAGAATAAATAGTAGAATTAATTTAGCCAGCTTGTTATGGGAGTTAAAATTCTAGTTGCCCAAACAATATGACAGAGTGAGACTGTATCTAAAAATAACTGAATAAAGAATTAGCCAGCATTGTATGAGTTAAGTCCATTTGCCCTCATTGTTTAGTGGAGAGCAGCCGGAGACTTAACCTTCAGGAAAGGTGGGACAGAACCCCTTCCCGCAGCTGCCTCCTTGGCCCTAGGAGATTTAAGTCTTTGTCCCGCCCTCAACCCTTCCCAAGCTGACTTTCAGCCCTGGAGCAAGAGGGCAGACCTTGGGCTGAGGAGTTACAAAAAAAAAAAAAAGGGCAGCTGGGGCCAAGTGGGCAACTGCAGCTGTGGCCTGCGGGGTCATGGTACACCTGTGCCTGTTTAGGCCTCCCGCCTCCGGTGGGCTGCAGAATAGCCAGTTTCTCACACTGTTCATCCAGGGTCAATTACATCCCCTCACATGTGACATCATCACACCGACCCACCATCTCACACTGTCCATACAGTCAATAACCCACTGATAGACTGCAAAACGCATGGCACGCTCACACCGTCACACGTGCTCTTGTCCATGCGTTTATTCCCATTTCTGGCACAGTGTCCGGGGTCGGCACGGCCAGGGGCAGAACCTCGCAGGAAGTGGAGCCTCACAGTGTGGGCAGACAGATAATGACCAATAACGTCAAGTACAAGCGCAAGCTGAGGGTTAGGGAGGACCTCCCGAGGGCTGAGGCCTGCACAGGAGAGCTGTTGGAAGATCTTGCCGAGGGCTTTGCAGCTCTGCATCTTCAGAGCCTCGGGGCGGACCCTTTTGCTCCCGCCCTATCCGGGGGCTGAAGGAGGAGGCGTCCTTAAGGGACGGGACCGTCCTGAGCTCCGGGGGCAGGAGTGGCAGGCCTGTGGTGTGGGGCGGGGTGGGCCTGTCAAGGAGGGGCCAGCCCGGAGCTCGCAGCTCACGGGGCGGCGCTGGCTGCGGCGGCCGCTGCCCGGGGGCGGGATCCTGATCTAAGCCTCCAGTAATCCCGCTGAGGCCCGAGCCGGTGCTCAAGCCCTGCTAATCCCAGCTACTTTGGGAGGCGGGAGGCGGTGGATCACGAGGTCCGGAGATCGAGACTATCCTGGCTAACATGGTGAAACCCGTTCTCTACTAAAAATACAAAAAACTAGCCGGGCGTGGTGGCGGGCGCCTGTAGTCCAGCTACTTGGGAGGCTGAGGCGGAGAATGGCGTGAACCCGGGGGCGGAGCTTGCAGTGAGCTGAGATCACGCCACTGCACTCCAGCCTGGGAGACACAGCGAGACCTCCCGTCTCAAAAAAAAAAAAAAAAAAAAAAAAAAAAAAAAAGAAATAACAATGACTCCTCGCTCACAGTTGACAAGGAGCCAGGCTTAGATGGTTTTTTTTTTTTTTTTTTTTTGAGGTGAGTCTTGCTCTGTCACCCAGGCCTGGAGTGGCAGTGGCGT